GATTCTCATATATCTCTCATTTTAGTATCAACAGCATTTCAGATGTTTCTCCTAAAATTCCTTACGAGAAATAGAAGTAGACACAAATGAGATATGAGAAAAATTTGAAAAAAAAAAAAAAAAAAAAAGAATAAAAATGACAAAAGCACATAAAATTACTAAAATGTAAACTAAGATTAAAATGAAAAGATGACAAAAATAAAAAGCTAACTCAAAATATAAATAAATACTATAAAATATTAAATACTATAAAAAAATACTATAAATAATACAAAAATATTATTATTAAAAATACTACATTACCTTGTTTAGGCAGATTTTTCAAATAAAAAATAATAATAAATAAATTATATAATATAAGAAATTATATCATTTTTAATTCATTGTGAACATATAATATTGATAATAAAGAACACAAATGCTTTCAGTACAAATACTTTACTGTGTTTTTCCCCTCAAATTATCCTTCACTTCCACTGACAATCTGACGTAAGAGCTTTTGTGAGGACATCTGTAATGATGGGCCACTTTGCACCAAATAATGTTCAGCATATAGATTCAACTTTGGTCGGGAGTGTCAAAAGGCACTGAAAACGGCCTGTGAAATGTCTTTGAGAGACCTGACTTAACCTAAGTCTACAGGCAGCAAGGGAACCGTCATTACAAATGCACTCACAAAAACTCTCCCATCAGATCAATGAATGAGAGACTACTGAAAAATTAACATGCGGTTGGCAAACGCTCTTTTGATGCAGAGCAGAGTGAGAAAAGTATCCACACTCACAGTTTGCTGCCCAACATCAAACAGACATACAAAGTGAGTTTGTACATTCCTAATGGCCTGTGTGAATTACATTAATGCAAAGACGACCAATACAAAAGCATTGCTTACTCAATGCTTGCTGGATCAATTCATGCAGATTTAGTTTGGGAGTTTAAAAACTGCCATTAGTTTAGGTCAAGTGCACTAAAGTAAATTTGCTGTTTATACTCAGAAATAGCACACACAGGCCACACCGGTCAACAAAGACATATTGCTGTTCATTCAACTTCTATATTTATCGACACACTAACTAGTTCCCACTTCGCAACAGAAATTCAATAATAGCTGCTACCAAACAAAGAATTGTGGAAGAAGTAAGATTGTGATAAGACTTGGTTCTGGCGTTGTTGGCATTTTTTGTGAGAAATACACAGCTGCCTCGGAGTAATTAAGCAATTAATCTGCTAATTGGCCAAATTGATGAATATGTTTCAAAGAGGCAGATGGTGCCGCACATGCTTGAGGATATTAATTTAAGGTCCACCACTCTGGAAGTTGGGTCCTCGCATTCGAACCAGAAAGAAATATACTGCCTGAAATGGGCCA